TATTGTGACAAATGCTGAGAATTCCATTCTGTATTATAAGTACTGTCTGTTTTGGAATAAAATAGATTATTATTATTATATATTTGGCCAGCATCCTCACATTCAAAAGGGACTATATAATATGAATCCGTGAGATCTTTGACAAAACCTTGAACAATACACTAACTAACAATCAGGAGAGTAACGATCAATGAGTAATTTAAACCAAAGTACTCAAAAACGTCTTCAAGGCAATACAGAGATGACGGAGGCAATGAAGATAACCAACCAGCAACGAGAATCACAAGCACCAATCACTATCAAAGGGAGAAATTTTGGAAGAGGTCAATTCCTTTATTCATCTAGGCAGAATCCTTTCAACTACAAGCATTCAGCATGGAGGTGGTTGGCAAAACTAGAATTGGAAAGGCAAGACAGACCTTCGTCACTCGGAATTCAGTTCGGAAAACTTCTTCACTCCACGGCGAAAATTGCGAAATTCAGATTTCCCACACCAATGTCAGGCGTCGGTGGCATAGCGGTTATGACGCTCGCCGACCATGCACGTGATCCGGGGTTCGATCCCCGGCCAACGCACTCCTTTACCTCGCTGAGCCAGAAATAATTCTGGTGAAGAGGAAAGGTTGGGCATGAGACTAGCAACCCCATCCTGTAAAATAAACACTGCTATAGAAACTTCAAGCCACTAGCTGGAAGCCCTATGTTCCATTGGGGAACGTGAAGGAAAAAAACACCAATGTCAAGTCAGAAACTTGGTGCCAGAGTCACAAAAATCATTTCCGACAAGTTACTGAAGACATTTATCAACAGCTGCTCACTTATCTGTCTCCATAAGAAAGGCGAGATAGTCGGCCAGAATGAATTAGCAACAAGGAACTCTGTCGGGTGACGAACCTACCAAGAACCTACTGCTCAACACAAATAAGATTTGAGCAAAGAATATTCTTCTCGATAATTTTCCTATTCCCGTTCGACAATTATATAAACATATATATGTATATTTATATACACAGAGTATTCCGGAATAATCATCATTAGGAATATTGTTATTTTTTATGTAATATCGACTTGTTAGTATTTTTAATATATTTGTGCGTTGAAGTTTCTGTAGCAATTTGGTTACGTTTTCGGGGTGGAGTTGCTAGCACCACGCCCCAACCCCCCCCCTCTTTATCCGGGCTTGTGACCGGCAAAGAAAACTAGCGAGCTGGTCGAAGAAGCAGCAAAGACAGGACTCCAGGTGAACATAGACAAGACGGAGGCCATCAAATTAACCAACCAACAACAACAACAACAGCAGCAGCAACATCCAGCGTCAATCACCATCAACTGGAAGGATTTGAAAGAGGTTACTTCATTCACTTATCTAGCGAGCATTGTCTCAACTACAGGAGGAACGGACGGACGAGGATGTCAAATCGAGAATCGGGAAGGCGAGAAACACATTCATCAACCTGAAACCAATCTGGAAATCTTCGTCACTCAACTCAGCATCAACAACAAAATTCTGATTTTCAATACAAACGTCAAATCAGTCAGTTCTTCTATACGGATCAGAAACTCGGAGGGTCACAAAGAATATTTCCAACAGCCCGTTGCACACCTTTATCAACAATTTTCTTCGCTCTATACTGAAGATCAGATGGCCGGAAAGAATCACCAACAAGAAACTATGGGAAGAAACAAAACAAGAACCAATCGCTCAACAAATATGCAGGAAAAAGTAGATATGGATTGGACACTCGCTGAGGAGGCCGCTGGGTGACATCGCGCGTCAGGCCAAAGCTCGAGTGGAACCTGAAATGGAAGCGGCGAGTGGGACGTCCAAGGGTGACATGGAGGAGATCGTGTGAAGAGGAGCTGAAACACTACGGATTAACATGACCGCAGGTGAAAAGTACAGCAGAAGAGAGAAGCAAGTGGAGACGTGTAGTTGAACCCCTATGTTCCACTAGGAACCCAAGGGAACAATAATAATAATAATCGACTTGTTAAAATCACAATGGAATTACCACAGTTCAAGTAAATAGAATATCATATGAAACTAAGAAAACTTGCATAACAAATTAAGGATCATTAAAGCCTTATTGAACAGCGGAGTAAGGACAGTATCTGAACCAGCTTCTTTTGGATATATAAGTTAAGTTTCTTAATGTGGATTCCAACAGCCAGACTCAGCAATATGTCATAGTGAAACTCTTCTTGTAAAATTAAGCTCAGTTGATATACGGCAGATAACTTTCAAGGACTTGTTTACAGGACTGGACTACGTCTGTCCCCAGCTTAGTGATAGGGAGAGAAATGACAGAACATGTTGAACACTTCACCTATTTGGGAAGTTGTATCAGCACCAACGGATTGATTGGTGACGAAATCTCAGAACGGATCAGAAAAGCTCTAGCTGCTTTCGCTAACTTACACCACCTCTGGCGTAGGCGTGACATCCGACTATCAACCAAGGGACGTGTGTACTGCTCAGCAGTTCGTTCCGTCCTTCTCTATGGCTCTGAAACATGGCCAATACGAGTTGAAGATATGAAAAGATTGTCTGTTTTTGATCATAGATGTCTACGATCTCTTTCTCACGTTAGGTGGTATAATAAGGTAAGTAATGTTGACGTTAGGCGTAGAGTGTTGGGCAAAGAGGGAAAATCAATCGAAGAGGCTATAAAGTTACATAGATTGAGATGGTTGGGTCACGTGCTGCGCATGCCTAACCATCGCCTCCCCCCTCTGACGGGCATTACTAGCTGGTATAGGTGTTGTGGGTTGGAAAAGAGTAAGTGGTGGCCAGACAAAAACATGGCCTCATCAATCCATGAAACCCCTGACAGTTAAACTGAGTCAGGTAGGGAGATGCAGACTTCCGGGTTGGGGCCTTCGGGACTCTAAGAACCAATGGCTGGAGACAATAGGTGACATGGCTCAAAATCGTTGTCAATGGCTTACGCAGATGTATTCAGTCTCTGTAATCCTTCATATTCCTTTCTACCATTACTCATTCTGTTTCACTCTTATACTTGTCAAAACTCTATTGATTCTTTTCACTCATCTTCTTGTCTACATTTGTGTGCTATTTGGAACGTGGTAACTGGAACTGCTGCACTTCGGTGTCAAGTTCTATGTTGATTCCAGACAGACAGAGACAGACTTTTTTACATCAATTTTGTGTTCTGTATCTACGAAATGAGACAGTAAAGACCTATGAATGGATTTTGTTTCTCCTCTGATTAACCACTGTGCAGGATGGTGTAGGGAAACATGCCTATGGGACTGGTTCACTCCACAGGAGCAGTCAGATCGATAAATACGCATAGATGAGACAAAATCAGACAGTTTATCCTTAACTGTTGAACTCAAAATGGAGATGAATCAGACATACACTGAGGAAACTGTTGGGTGACGTCACACTCAAGTGGAAGGTGAATTGAAAACGTCAACTTGGGCGTCTGCCCGATCGTGACATGGAGGAGATCGTGTGAGTAGCAGAAAGACGAAGAGATAAGAAACTATGAACAGTCAGTGTAGCAGCTGCAGAAGGACTGCGGAAAATAACACAAAGCTGGAACCCAAGGGAACGATAATAATAATAATAATAATAATAATGGTCAAAGAGTAAAACTCAACACTACTGACTGTATAATTTATTGATTGATTTAAAATATTTTATATATATATATAGATTATAAAGTTACTCAAAAACAACACGAATAACACTCATAATGATAATAAATAAACTCACAAAAGAAAAAATATGAATTCAGGCAAAATAAAACAAAAATATAAATATAAATAATTGAATCAAAATAAAAGCAAAAGCAATAACAAACAAAATATAACCAATTATTATTATTGTTATTTCTTTTTTAGGACCAGTGATGAAAAATAAAAACAAATAAAGGAGAGTAATATCCAGATTGCAAATTGTCTGAAGAAAGCAAAATATCAAAGTTTTTGTTTACAATAGCAGAGAACACTATTTACTATGTGTGAACAGTAACCATGACGACGACGACGACGTCGACAACAACAACAACACATCAGGAGAAGAGAACACCCTACTACTGATGTGAACCATAATATCATGATAATAATAATAATAACGCCAAACAATAACAAGTACCCCCTTGAAGACAACTGAATAGTAGTCGATCAACACTGGTGAAATATATATGAAATTTAATAAAGCAGAAACAAAGGGCATTGCAGAACAACCCGCAGAAATACTACTACTAGTAATAATAATAATAGTAGTTTATGCTATGGAAAGGCAACGAAAACACATGCATACACTACTTAACACCTCAATGAGAGTAGTAGTAGTAGTATTACAAATATCGAAAAATTTGTAGTAATTTAATAAGCATAATCATGCTGCATATGCAACCAACCAAGCGACAAAATAAATAAATAAGCAAACAGTAATCTTACTTCATTGAAAAGCTTAAGAAAATAATCATATTCAAGAAATTATATGGCATTGATTTGTATATAGAAATAAAGGTTAATTACAGATAGATCCAGTGTGCGTGTGCGTGTATGTGAGTGAGTCAGATGACAGTAAATAACAGTCATGATAAAAACTCGGTTGAAACAACAGCATATCCACTAGTCCACCTCCGGCCCCCTCCCAAACACCCACACACACACATAGTCAAGTTTGAGTGAATCATTTAGTCAGATATTTAGTTAGTTAGTTAGTCAGTCGAGGGGTGGGTCTGTGCAAAATGTGTACTGTAAATCATTACAAAAGTAAAGATATAGACCGATGCTATATATATGCATATGTGTATATAGGCAATGAGTGGCAATAGACTCTAGGGTCACATTGTTTGAAGGTATGAAATAAAGCCGTTCCTTATGGAGCAACAATAATAGTAATAGCGATTGTTATTATGATTATTATTATTATTAGGAATATGAGTGACTATGTAGGCAGAACTGGAAGGAAATTTAAAAAAAACTGAAATCAATGCATAAAATACAATATAATATGTATATATATATATAATATATTATGAATCGGAAGTCATAGTTACTCCCCCAGTCGATGGATCCAATTGATCACTTGGTTTATCTGCTTCATAGGTTTTCAGACGTAAACGTGCAAAATCTTCAAAGATTAAATCATCATCATCGTCATCACCGATTGTATGACGTTTTCCATTTGTCTGATAACGTGATCTAGTTGTAAAATAAGAAATAATGTTTGGGAAAATATCATGAGAAGCATGTATAATAATAAGAATAATAATGATTTACTTTATTCCAAAAACACTACTTGTGATACAGAATGGAATTTTCAGCATTAATCACAATATTGCATCTAATTTCCTCATATTATAAATAAAACTAATCACACAGAAACTTTTTCCACATTTACAATAGGGGTAATGTCAAAAAAAACATGCAGCATATAAAATGGAAATAATAATAATGATAGCAGCTAATAGAAGTGAAAATTGCCCTGGGCTTGTTTCACACAGTAATGTCGATGCGGTATACAAATCCTTGCATGATTAAAAAATATTGAATATAATGTTCTCTTTACATGATATGGTGAGGGAAAAAACAAAGATTACAGCAGTCATAGAGATAAGTTGGTGTTTGCAGTTATGAAAGTGAAAACAAAGAATCCACAGGACCATAAATATAATAGAAATAATAAAAGTAAAACTTGAAGGTATATAAGGATGGATGGAGGAGATTGTTTATTTATTAGATGAAAAAAGGTTAGTCAATTCTTGCCTGACGCTATTTTTATCACATAAAATACGTGCCAAGTATGGTATCATAGAATTTTTATACTTAGACGTGCGAGCATACAGTTTTCTGAAGTTACTTCTCGTTCTACCTGAGGAGATGCAAGGTGAAAGCTGAGGGTGAAGTGGATGCCCCAAGTCAGACAAAATCCCCCTAGCAAATTTACTGCACGAGGACAAGCGCCTATCAACAACGACGTTAACTATGTAGTCCACTGGGACACCACTCATCCTACTGACAGTCTTCAGCATTCTACGAATTGTAAGATAGTCCTTTTTAAGCAAACCAGGAAAGAATAAGGGTGAACAATAAAGAAGAACAGGTAGGATGCAAGAGTTTATGAACTATAAGAGGACGGGTTGAGTTATACCCGAGAGCCTTAGCTTCTTAATATAAAATGTCAGGCGGAATATTTTACTGGCGATCGCTAAGATATGGGATGACCAGGAGAGATCAGAAGAGAGAATAAGTCCAAGATACTTAATTTCTGATTTAATTCCTATATCACTGTCGTCACTCTTACAACTTTCATGAGAATCGACGGCTTCTTTTAACTGTCATTTACATCTTAAGCTGAAATTAACAGTTTGACATTTAGAAGCATTCAGTTTAAGACCGTTAGACTCAGACCATGTACTGACTCCCGACAAAAAGCTATCTATTTTGGTACAGTCTAGCTGGGAGTTAACAGCCATTGAAACAGTTAAATCATCAGCGTACTTCCCAAAGTTTATATTATCAGACTTAGGCAAGGCATGTAAGAAGAAAGAAAAAAGAAAAGGAGAAAGGACAGCGCCTTGAGGGACACCAGCTTCAGTAGGCAATGAAGTGGAAGACTTCCCTTTATACACGGTGTACTGCTTTCTTTCTGAGAAATAGGAATGTAACCAGTTAACAGGCCAACATATATATATATAATAATGAGGTTAGTGTGTAGTATTGGATATAACGTTTTGTACTTGTATCGACTTAGACGGTTAGGATATGTGCTAAGAATGTCAGACCATCATCGCCTTCCTCGTCGGCTGATGTTAGGCGAGATTGCATTGGTTTGGAAATGAAGGACATAGCTATGGTCAAATCAAAAAGAAACACATTCCATCAATCCATGAAGTCACTGTCTGACTGTCGGTTCAAGTCATGTAGGAAGGCGTTGACTATATCTTCTCTGTGAGGTATGTCGAGATGCTAATAATGTATGACTAGAGACAATTAGTGATACTGTGGCCAATGCTACTCATAAGATTTATCAGTAGTATATGGGTAAACAGACGTTCATCGGCAAAAAAATGTCGCATAGAAGGGAGATAGATTTGACATTAGTCAGAGAAAGCAAATGATACAGCGTTGTGGAGATAGATACATGGGGGATGTGAAAGGAAGACAAAGAAACATAAGATGAAGTCCAGAAGTACCACAACACGAAGACTTTTGCAAATGATGCGCTGAAGATAAGGTATACATAATCGCTCTTACTAACAGATACGTTCAGACTTCGTGATTTTTAGGTTCAGTTGTAGAATACTTGTGTATCACACACTAAAAATGGGAATCAATCCCCAGCTGACGCACTCCTACACCTTGTTAAATTGGTAGTAGTTCCATGCGCATATGTAACGACAGAAGACAAGGGACAGGCAACAGATCGTTTATTGAGAAAATCGACAGATATAATTATAGATTTTTATTACAGATTATTGTTAGCAGAGAAACAACGTCCTCTGTCTGATTGGATGTTTCCTCGCCTAAAGTTATTCTGCCATCTGTTTGTGGCCATTGCTTTGAAGGTCAGATCAGATCAGCTTTCTGAGAATCGTATCCGTCCACGCGAAGTCTGCTATTATTGGTTATTGAGTTAGTCTTTGTGCTAGTTGTTTTTTTTCTCATGAACCCGCGATTTGGGACGTAGACATTGAAGTAAACATGGCTGTCTACCAATTTTGACTAGCACACAGCTCTCACCACAATATTAATTCCGTCTCTATCATATCATCCCAACAGATTTTCCGAATCCATGAGCAAAAGGTACGTATGTGCCTTGTATTGATCTTCGGATTAAGTTATCGTGTTGCTTATGGCCTACAAATCCAATTCCAACTGATGTAAACTTTGCTTTACAAGTTCTTTTTCTGTATACCAGTGAAGTCGTCGGAAACCCTCAGTGAGATCAATTCAATTCCCATCCTTGAATCAAGTCAACCTGTCCCGGATCAGCCTAGCGTTGTTGCAACCCAATTATTCATGCCTAACGTTTCTATCCTCCCTTGTTTAATGAACTGCGTGTGTGTGTTTTTACATCGATCCGTTTAGTCAGACCGTTGAACTCATGACCCAATCAGAGTATTTTTGTAAACTATTATTTTGCTGACCCATGTCTTATTTTGTAGTATTCTATCGAGTTTATCTTATTTATTGATCTTCATTTGTATCAGCCTACCTGGTTAAATAGCCGATTAAATTCTATATTTGTGCCTATGCTCTTTCTATCTCTTAACCGCTCTCTGTTCTATGCCCTGCCTTACTTCGGTTCATTCTTCTACTGACTGCTTGCCTGAACAGTTGTGTCTGATTCCGGCTAGTTCGCAATTTTGGCTTTAATATTATTCCGCTCTGATAACGATACCTTGCTTTCTGTCAAGCGTTGTGCTCTGTATTCTTGAAACCGTTAAGGTTTGTTGTATATATAATTATTGATTTGTTCATTAATAGTACCATAGAAAAAGTGAACGACTTCTTGTTTGTTCTAGACCGGGATAGCCTTTATCTACGCGTGACCTAATTTCAAGCGATATTGCTCTTACACCCTCGTTAAAGAAGCCAACTTCTTCGCTTGCATTGACCTTCATCAAATAAAATGTATAAAAGTCGAATAGTCTACTCCATTGCACCCTTTAACCAACATCACAGTTCTCTTCTGGAAATCAATGTCAGCGTCAATATCACAGTGAAGACGTTTAACTTTCGAAAGTAAAATTGAATTCATCAGAGAAAAATTGAGGAATTCCAATTGATTGATTTAATGCCAACAATGTGACTGACAGTGAAAACGAATGTAGAAATCATTGCGAATATAAATCACACAGATAGCCAAATAAAAAATTATCGATGTGCTTTTTCTCTATCAGGTGTTGTTCAGTGGGGGGTGGGGGGGGTCAGTAATATGTATGCGGTATATGTAGGAGGAGTGTTACACGAAACACGTGGTTCAATTTTTCGTCCTTGTGATGCCATATTGATCAGTGAAGTGATAATCAATAATAATCACATGAACAGTACATGCACAAACATTTCTCCTTGTGTTAGTATTTTGCTGAGACGATTTGTGAATATATACAGCATACAGTTAGTTATATAAGGCCTATATTTTCTTTTTAAAAATGCACTTTTACGAAAACGCTTTCAATTATTCAACTCCTTGTAATCTTCAGAAGTTCTGTTCAGTATGATCTCCATATTTCACGAAATTATTATTATTAATATTATTATTATTATTGAATCCCCACACATAACCTCGCCTAGATTAGTAGCTGCCTAGTTTTCTAGCCGGTCCCAAGCCCGGATAAAGAGGGAGGGTTGGGGCGTGGTGCTAGCAACTCCACACCCAAAACTTAACCAAATCGCTACAGAAACTTCAACGCATAAATATATTAAAAGTACTAAATATATAAACAATAACCTTATTTTCCCTGGAATCGGGGAAGTGAAATGATGCAGGCTGGTGAAAGCCTTCGGGAAGCCAATGAGCCGATGTGCCTTCTTTCGATGAAAGCAAAAATAAGGATGGGGACGTGGAATGTTCGTACAATGTACGAAGCTGGAAAGGCTGCCCAGGTTGCCGCAGAAATGAGAAGATATGGAATACAAGATTTGGGAATCTGCGAACGCAGATGGAACGGATGTGGAAGGAGCCAACTATCAACCGGTCACCCAGAGGACAACCATAATCACACGGAGGGAGTGGCCATCATGATGTCACCAGCAGCAGCTACAGCTCTCATGCAGTGGGAACCAATCTCCTCCAGGATAATGACAGCTAGGTTCAACTCAAAAGGAAAACTCAGCGAGTCAGACAAGGGTGCTTATTATCACCGATGATATTCCTAATTGTAGTGGACTGGATTATGCGTCAGACAGTGGGAAACGAGAAGACAGGGATATCCTGGACCGACGTGAAGAACCTAGAAGACGTGGATTTCGCGGATGATTTATGTTTGATGTCACACAAAATTGAAGACTCACAAGCAAAAACCGACAAACTGGTCGAAGAAGCAGCCAGAGAAGACAGGACTCCAGGTGAACATAGACAAGACGGAGGTTATGAAAATAACCAACCAACAACAACAACACAACAACATCCAGATGGATTGGAAACTTGCTGAGGAGGCCATTGGGTGACATCGCGCATCAGGCCCACGAGTGGA